ATAACTCAAGAACAGCTATATCGATTTGGATGAAAATTGGTGGGGAGGTAGCTTAGAACCAGGAGACGGACATAGGATACTTTTTACCCAATACTTATTTTTTACTTTTAACCGAAAATCAAGAACGGGCACGGGACATATCGGGATTGCGCGTACGAAGTCGCGGGCAGAAGCTAGTATTATATAAGTAAGGATTTTTTCCTTACAATATAAAATGTACTATTAGGAAATTCGATCTTCTTACTAATATCTTAAAAGATAAATTTCTTTATGTCAGAAAATGGACAGTGCAGTCCTTATAACAGAAATCTATTGACTTACTTTGGTTACGGAACGCCGATCATTTTTCGCCGGTTCTTTTGACAATTCCCGTCTTTGACCCCTTGTTATAGTAATTTGGGTTGTCTGGGCATGATGGAAGGATGCCAAAGGGAATGTAATACTCTTATAGCTTCGTAAGATAAACGAATAATGTATGTAGGTTAGTACCTAAATTGTATTATGTATTGTCTTCGTGATAGTGGTTGTATTTTTCTATCTAGGGAGCTCCTGCCTCTTTAACTCGTCGAGTACAGTCATTATAGACACAATTATAGAACAATAGGTTGCGGTCACCAAAGTCCTCGCGGTTTTTGACAGTTTAAAGTAACTCTAAGAGTAACGAATGGAGAATTGGAGTTCTTCTCCATTCGAATCTACATTTTGGAATGAACACCTAGCTTCACTGACGGACTGACTGACAAACTATCTATTTTGTATTTGTTGAAGTTTCAAAAGTACCAAATTATGGTTTAATTGAAATAAATGTTCTGACACTTTTTTTAGGAATAAACTCGTTGAGTACCGTCATTATAGACAATTAAAGAACAATAGATTGCGGTCACCTCCGGTGTCCTCGCGGTGTTTTACAGTTTAAAAGCAATATACAAAGTCCGGCTCATGAGATTCTCCTCACTCAATTCTAACAAAATCTTTCACGATTCATCCTTTTACTTGAATTTTCTCTAATCTGGTTTGATTTTAGACTTCCATTTTAGTAAGATGAAGCCACATTAGACTGATATTTAGCCTCGCTATTATCAGTGATTCTGATTTTATTTGCCTTTAAATAGTAAAGATGACTTATTTAAATAACTCATAGAAAACCGACGTGAAACAACGCTTGCGTTGTTTCACGTCGTGTGAGTGAGTTTTCCAGACGTTCCACCTGCTCCAATCCGTGAATCCTCATCCCAAAAGGCCGGTAACGCACTTGCAACGCCTCTGGTGTTCCAGGTATCCATGGGTGAAGCCGATTGCTTATCATCAGGTGATCCGTCTGCTCGTTTACCGGTTTATAACATAAAAAATAATAATAATAACTTTTAGCCTAGATAACAAAGCTATATTGATACGAGCTATCTCTCCAACAAGGAAACTTTGTCGTACAGATAAAAAGCAGCTCTTATATAACCGTAGAAACGTTTTTATAGCAAAACAGGTTGTTTACGTAAGGAGATACCGACAGAAGTGCTATATTGCGAGGCCTTGTATTTGTCAAACTAAGCAAACGAGACTCGCTGGGTAACCAAATACCGTCCTGTTTTAGATCTAAGGAAATTCGTTTTATGAAAACGAAATATTTGTTCACATTTTATCGGTATTTTTAGTGCTGAGTGGGGCTTGATTTATTTCTAACAAGCCATATATTTGGATTTATTTGTGTTTAATTATAAATAGCTGTCTTTCCTGGACTTCCAGCGAACATTGAATGACTAAAATTAGCCAAATCGGTTCAGCCGTTTTCGAGTTTAAGCGATACTAACGAACGAAAATTCATTTTTACCACCAATTACAAATCAATATAGAGGTAAATATGATTTGTAAATGGTGGCCATTGTTTGTCAAACATCCAAATTCGTATATTCACAATGTTATTATGTTAAAAAGAATTCTCGGATTTCTTCTAGATAAATATAATTAACTCAGTTCTACCGAAAATATTTGTTAGTATCAACAACAATATTCGAAGAAGAAAAATGGTTATATTCCTAACTAGAAGAGGACAGAAAGAATACGAGTCTTATTATTGCCTAAGTTTTGATACTAGTAAATCTAGACTGTAACTCGAAATGACAATAATATACTTTTATATCTCTTGTTTTGATAACCAAGTTTAGCAAATGTACGCTTTGCTGAAGTAAAATATAAGAACAATGTTACTAAACGTCTTTTCTTCTTTAGAAATAGAAAACAAATGGATATTTCTTATCATATTTCAATGCGAATCTGATCTACATAATTTTACTCAAAATTGCTGGTTACTTCCTTCATACAAAGACTAAATACTTATAGAATGTACTGGAAATGGCTTATTTAGAATAGAAGCAAATATAGTCAGGAATGTATGAGAGAGACTAATTAATTGTTAAGTTTATCTGGAATCGTCATAAATCCGCTAAATAGGACTATCTGAGAATTTAGATAACGTAGTAATTGAGTTATG